ATATTGCCCATGCAATAGGTCAACTTCAAGCTGGAGTTCCACAAAACGTTCCAGTGTTATTCAGATTTGGCCCTGGTACCATCTCCAAATTGAAGAAGAAGATCCTTGTAATGGAGGATGTCTTCCCAAAAAGATCACACCACAAGAAGACCGTTTCCTCACCCTGTCAGCACTCAGGAAACATCTTCTACACATTTGCAGTTAAGGTTTGCAGAATGATATAGCTGATAGCTCATTGTACCCAAAATAAATTTCACAAACCAAATCTCCAGTCTCATGGCCTTGCCATAAATGTTCTTCACCATCAGGCCCGCTTGTACTGGTGTCAGCAACGTGTGCACTAGAACCTGAACATATGGAGGAATGTTGTGTTCAGCAATGTGTCAAGATTCTACCTATGGATTATAGAGTCAAAGTGTGGAGAAGACACTAAGAGCGCTATGCTATATGCTGGACTGACAGGGTAGAGCTGGTATGATGGTTTGGGAGCAACCTCTCCCTCAATGGAAAAACAAGTCTTTTCATCATTGGAGGTCATTTCAATGAAGAGAGATATCAAGATTAGAATGTGCAACTAGTACCTATCCTTTGCTCTCCGATGCATTCATCGGAGTATGAATGTGTGAATGAATGTAGGAAGCACTGAGTTTAGAGAAAGTGCTTGTGAGAATGGGTGTGATTGGGTAATGTGGCATGTTGTAAAGAGTGCTTAGAGTACTCCTGGAGAGTAGAAAAGCGCTATATACGAGTCAGTCCATTTACCATTACACTGGCAGAGAACATTTGATATGGATTTTTTTATGGACGCAGGCCACATACTCAACTAAATGGTAAATGGACTGGTTCTTATATAGCACTTTTCTACAAACATTCACTCGCATTCACACTCCGATGGATGCATCGGAGGGCAAAATGGGGTTAATATCTTGCCCAAGGATATTTGGCATGTAGACTAAAGGAGCCTGGGATCAAACCACCAACCTTCTGGTGAGTAGGTGACCTGCTCCACCACCTGAGGTACAGCCACCTGAGCTCTGCTGCTGCTCAACTCACAAATACATTTTCCTTACAAATGTGACACCATTAAAGGGGAAATAAACAGGATTCACAATGGTATAATATTTATTGCTGAGAATTATTTTTACAACAAAGAAATTTTTTGTTACATTGTTTTATCTTATATATAAAATCAATAAGCATGCATTAGCTGCGGTGTCAGTGACAAAAAGCTGATTTTCTTTTTAGTGTCTTAAAAATAGTTTTAGTCCACCTCTGAATCTGTCTATTAATTCAACAGAAAAAAAAAAATCTGACTTTTTTTTTTTTTTTATATGAGTCTGATTTATGTTGAGGTCACACACCACCCAAAAAAAGTAAAGAAAGGAAATAACTGGCAACGTCTGTCATCAGTCCTACTGAATATTGTTCAATATGCTTATCTTTTCTTGAAAACATAAATCTTTTTATGCATTTTTATGTCTGTAGTCACAGTTTACATCAAGATTTGTAAATCAGTTGATGCTATCATACTCCTTCTTTCTTTTCCTT